AGCTTGCAGTGAGCTGAGATCCGGCCACTGCACTCCAGCCTGGGAGACAGAGCCAGACTCTGTCTCAAAAAAAAAAAAAAAAAAAAAAAAGAATGGCATGAAGTGTGATTTTTTTGTTAATGGAAAATTAATTTTGTCCAGAAGTTATTTAAAGATTGTTTCAGGCCGGGCGCGGTGGCTCAAGCCTGTAATCCCAGCACTTTGGGAGGCCGAGACGGGTGGATCACGAGGTCAGGAGATCGAGACCATCCTGACTAACGCGGTGAAACCCCGTCTCTACCAAAAAAACACAAAAAACTAGCCAGGCGAGGTGGCGGGCGCCTGTAGTCCCAGCTACTCGGGAGGCCGAGGCAGGAGAATGCCGTAAACCGGGGAGGCGGAGCTTGCAGTGAGCTGAGATCCGGCCACTGCACTCCAGCCTGGGCCACAGAGTGAGACTCCGTCTCAAAAAAAAAAAAAATAAATAAATAAAAATAAAGATTGTTTCAAATTGAAAGAATAAAAAAAGATATAGATAAAACTAAATGAATACAGAAAGTTGGAAATAGAAGAAAAATTCTAAGAGGTTATAAAAGATACGTAAATCTTATCTTGTGTGGTCAAAGCTGACTGAAATTAGATGGACTTGTTTATTAGGCTTTATTTAAATTAGCTTTATTATTGATATATTGATTCAAAAGTAAAATACGGTTTTCTCTTTTGAACAAGACTTTTGTGTATTAGATAGAGATGGGGTCTCGCTATGTTGCCCAGGCTGGTCACAAACTGCTGGTCTCAAGTCATCCTCCTGTATCGGTCTTCCAAACTGCTGGGATTACAGGCATGAGCCACTGCACCTGGGCAAGTATACTTTTGTGAGCAAAATAATTTACCTTTTTCTCTTTGGATTGACAAACTGTTTTTTGAGTATTCTTATTTCATGGCAATATAGTTACATGCATAAGTTCAGTAACAGTCTGAACAGGACATAATTGGAGACAGTGGTTATTCTACCAAGGCTTTAACTGGAATGTCATACTTAGATACATGATCAAACCGCTTTGAGGGACTGAGATTGACATTAAAAAACCAATAGACTTAGAAAAAGATTGGCCTGGTACCCTGTATATATGGTTCCCTTACAAAATTCCTGACCTTGCGATATGTAAAGAATTGTCACTTTCTTGGCTGGGTGCAGTGGCTCACTCCTGTAATTCCAGCACTTTGGGAGGCTGAGGCAGGCAAATCACCTGAGCTCAGGGGTTCAAGACCAGCTTGGGCAAAATGGCGAAACCCTGCCTCTACAAAAAATACAAAAACTAGCTGGGCATGGTGGTGCGTGTCTTTAATCCCAACTACTAGAGTGGCTGAGGCAGGAGAGTCACTTGAACCCGGGAGGCGGAGGTTGCAGTGAGCTGAGATCACGTCACTGCCCTCCAGTCTAGGCAATAGAGTGAGACTCCATCTCAAAATAAATAAATAAGTAAAAAATAGCCAGGCATGGTGGCAGGCACTCGTAGTCCCAGCTATGTGAGAGGCTGAGGCAGGAGGATTGCTGAGCCCAGGAGGTAGAGGCTGCAGTGAGCCATGATTGCACCACTACACTGCGACCTGGGTGACAGAGTGAGATCCCACCTCTAAAAATAAATAAATTAATTAATAAAAGGAAATAAAGGAAATGTTAAAATGGGGGACTAAAGGAAACTGAAAATATTTCACCCCAAAATGTACTTCTTTGATATATTCCCGCATACGGGAATAATCCTGAAAAGCTGCCTTTTGTGGAGGAGACTTGTATCTGTAGAGAAAATCTACACTGGTGAAATAAACAACCAGGCTTTCTTGGAGCCACCCCCTTGTCCGTACCTAGGAAATTATTAACTGAAGGTCTGACACCTAGGAAGGTCTGACAGAGCAACTTAACACAGGCTCATGCCTATTCTTTCTAGGAGCTGCTATCTATGAAGTTTCATCTGCATAACTAGACCATCTTTGCCCGAGTCCCTTCTTTCTGTTGCCCTCCCATAACCATGTTCCAAGCCCCTATTCTGGTGTAACCTCAAGATGGTATAAAAGCATCAAGCATCTGGCCCTTTCCGTTTTCATAGTTTGATGACTCCTGTGCCCATATGCACATTAATACATTTGTAGGCCTTTCCTCCCCTGTTAATCTATTAGCAGTTTGTTTCATAGACTCAAGTGATCAAACCTTTAGGGGAAAAAAATCAAATTCAAATTTCCCTACAGTGGTCACACAGCTGGCTAGTGGCAGAAGGGAATTTCAAATCCAGCTTTCTATAAGGGCCAGTTACTACTGCATCACAATACAACTTATAAAGTGCTCTGTACATATTCAGTCAAGGTACTGTTGTTACTATTAAACTTGTTTGACTTGAAAATCAGCATAAACCACCTAGTTCAGTATGTCTGAAAATGTAGCTTCAATATGGGATAATAAAATACAGAAGGTTCATTTGCATTTATTCATTTTCCAACTTAATTTCAATGGAAAAGAGTAATTCATTTAGAATGTACAAATGACATTCACAACGCTCATAATCTCTACTGCAGAAAGGACTCTGGTTAACATTTATAAAGTGGAAGGGGCCCAAGTAAGTTTGCCAAAAGGAGGAATATGGAAATTCTGCCCACAGCTAGAACAATGGACATAGATTTGTCAAAACAAAGAACAGTAAAGAGAGGAAAGGCAATTTGTTCAGCCCTTGTAATGCTATTTTATGGTTATTTTTCCAGTTGCTAGTTTCCTATTCACTTTAACAAAGAAAAAGATTAAACAAAAAATTTAACATTTTGCAAATTTATATTATCCTTTAGTAGAAGGAAAAATATTGTAAATGGTAAGTTATACTATTCAAAGTCCAAAACAGGAAAACAATCTCCAGTCAGATCATTGAATTAGCAGCAAAGCGGTCTATTCCAAAAAGAATCTTCAAAACGCCCACTGTTTATGTTTTGCACAACTTCAAAGTTTGAATGCTAATAATGATTCAATTTAAATGGAGGTATCTTTAGGCTGTTATTGCCCTAAAATAATCAATATATTTTATGACTCACACAGCCCATCTTGGCTTCCAGATTGGCCTGTGGATATTACGTTAATGAGCTACATCTGGACAGCTGAGCCACAACTTTAGTAATCAGAAAGGAGGGTAAATTTAAGCCTCGAGTTTTAAGAACAAAGCTGAAACAACAGGCCTCGAAAATACAGCTACGAAATAATGCCCAAAGCACTCTTTATGTATACATTGTGCAGGCCGCACACTTTTCTCCCGGGCTCACAGGTGGGCAGTGGTGAAAACTGCTTTTCAGATACAAGGCTATAGGTATTAAGGATCACCTAAGGATTCCAGGTGTGAGCCACCATGTCCAGCCTCAAAACTTCTGAATGCAAGCGCACAACATGTTTTTAAGGACTACCTAAATCCTTTCAAAAGTGATCCTCAAAAGCAATAACGCTATTTCTTTCTTCCTGCTAAGCCAAATGCATTTCTTTCTTCCTGCTAAGCCAAATGCATTTCTTTCTTCCTGCTAAGCCAAATACAAGTACATGCCACTGTGGTATCACACAGGGCTTCATCATACTATAGTCACCCTTCAAAGGACATTAAGTAGGCTTCCGCTTCTGATCCGTACAGACACACACACACACACACACACACACACACACACATCCATGAACAAAATTCAAACCAAAGAGAGAAGACTGGGTGCAGTGTCTCACACCTTTAATCCCAGCACTTTGGGGGGCCGAGGTGGGTGAATCAATTGAGGTCAGGAGTTCAAGACCAGCCTGGCCAACATGGTGAAACCCCATCTCTACTCAAAATTCAAAAACTAGTAGGGTGTGGTCGTGGGAGCCTGTAATCCCAGCAACTCGGGAGGCTGAGGCAGGAGGATCACTTGAGCCGGGGAGACAGAGGTTGCAGTGGGTGGAGGTTGCAGTAAGCCGAGATCCTGCCACCGCCACCGCACTCCAGCCTGGGTGACAGAGTCAGACTCTCTCTCTCATACACACACACACACAAAGTAAACAGAGAGCACAAATTCACAGATCCAACTCCACCAGTTACTCAAGCACACATTAAGCATGTGCCAATTTTATATAGGAACTTTGTTTTTAAACTCTTCTTAGAAACGACCACGGCTTCGCACCAACTGTGAGTTTTAGCTAAGTACTATGCCGTTTTGAGAAAGTTATTTTACTCTGTAATTTCTGCCGGTTTGGAGAGACGGTGCGTAAAGCAGGTAGTCTGCCACCTCCTGTCACGTTGTGGCTGGGTTTTGAAGGAGTACATTCAGGGGCTAGCGGCTAACGTCCAAGCCCCACCCTAGCAGGTTGTTAAACTCTAACGACTGTGGAAAGTCACTCGGAAGCTCCAGTTTGACTTGCTCTTTGAGGGGATGGGTGTCTGTGTTGGGAAAGGGTAGCAGGGGTGGGGGTGGAAAAACACTTTGCACAGATCCTTGTTTGCTTAAGACGAGCCTCTGTGGGCATTCTGGGAACACGTGCACAGCTCCAGCAAAACAAAACGGACCCGGGTTTCTGGGGCAGAGGGAAGCGCAGCCTGTTCCGCCGTGTTCAGCGGGGTACCTGCGCTTTGAGGGAGCCCCTGCCTTGCAGTTGGAGCTCGTTTCTTTTTCGTGCCCGGGCGAGCGCTCGTTCTCCAGCCAAGAGCACCCTCCCCTGTTGGCGAGCCCTGGCTCTGGGCGGGACCCGTGCCTGGATCCCCTTCTCTGGAGCTCCGCACCTGGACTTAGGGAGGAGGCAGCGCAAGGGGGCTACAGGGCCCGATTGTTTCTTTTTTCTCCTCCCGAAATCCTGTGTCACCTTCCGACCGGCGTTTTCCTCTTGGCCCCGCACCCGACGGGTCCAGGTTTCTCTCTGCAGCAGTTTCCTAAGGCGCTGTCTTCCGTCCCCCTCCTTCCCCACACCATGCCCTCAGCTTCCCGACATCGCCCTCCTTAGGGGTGGGCCCAAACCGAGCTCCCCTGGCACTTACACGTGGCCACAGCGGGTCCGGACTGGCTGGTGTAACACCTCAAGGCACACGGCGCAGTCGAAGGACGTGACGGGCAACTCCGGGTCCCCCCTGCGCTCCAGGGCCCGCGGGGTGGCAGAGGGGGGAGCCGATTTGCCGCTGTCGCTGCTCAGCACGGACCCCATCGCTGTGCCTCTCGCCCAGACAGCTGCCAAGCACTCAGTGCCTGCTGCAGGGTTGTTTTGTTGTCGTGCGGTGGAGGAAGGAAGTCCCGGCCCAGCTGCGATCGCCGCCTCCCAGCGCGCGCAGCTCGCGCAGCCAAGAAGCAACCTCCGCCGCTGCGCCCAACCCTGGTCTAGGGCAGGGCGAGTGCGCGGCCGCGGGGCTGAAATCTTCTGCAAGCCGCCTAGGTTAAGGCGCGGAGGCGGAGGCGGCAGCCGCCAGGTGCTCGGTCTTGTGGTATTGGGAGGATTGAAACCTGAAACCTTAACTGCAGAGAAGAGGACTTGAGGCAGTAGTAAACCTTCCAAGCTGTCACACACAGCCTCTTTCCCCACTGTCAGAAGTTAAGTGCGGGCGTGGCCATGCTTAATGATAATCAGAGAACAGCCGCTTGTAAGGACCATCCTCCACTGTTGTAATCACAATAAGCTGCAAAGATTGAACTATGACCTATGATTGGACGTCTCCTAAGACGGTGCTATCATTACTCTGTCGTCCAATCAATAGTCCATTAATGGAGAGAGAGCCTGGGTAGTGGAAAGAGTTCTGGAGATTCAGATTCCAATCCTACCTCTCTTACAGATATTCTAGTGCTAAACCCTGCCGTCTCCAGTTTCCTCTGCGGCTCAGGATTTCCTCTGTTGTTTGTACTCTCCCCATCCCGCCCTTTAAATGTGATCAGCTGGGTGCGGTGGCTCACGCCTGTAATTCCAACACTTTGGGTAGGCCGGGGCAGGTGGATCGCTTGAGGTCAGGAGTTCGAGACCAGCCTGGCCAACATGATGAAACCCCGTCTCTGCTAACAATGCAAAAATTAGCCGGACGTTAATTCACACTTTTTACGAAGACTTATTTCATGCCCACTGCACGCCAGACTCAGTTCTGGTGATGGAGACACAATTGTCAACAAGCAAACAAAATCCCAGTTCTCACAGAACTTACTTTAAAAAACAAAACCAAAACTTTACTTTGAGGTAATTATAGATTTGCATACAGTTGTAAGAATAGTACATAGTATATAATACACATATACAATAATATATAATGTAACACATGGGATATAATAACGCATATAATACATGTATGTATTTAACAGGCCATCAACTTCATCCAGTTTACCCCAGGCTTTACTTTTAATTAGGAGATATAGGCCAGGTACCGTGGCTCACGCCTGTAATTTCAGCACTTTGGGAGGCTGAGGTGGGAGGATCACTTGAGCACAGAAGCCAAGATCACGCTACTGCACTCCATCCTGTGTGACGGAGCAAGACCCTGTCTCAAAAAACAAACCAAGCCGGGGCAGTGGCTCACTGTTGTAATCCCAGCACTTTGGGAGGCCAAGGAGGACAGATCACCTGAGATCAGGAGTTCGAGATCAGCCTGGCCAACATGGTGAAACCCTGTCTCTACTAAAAATACAAAACTTAGCTGGGTGTGAGCTACTTGGGAGGCTGAGGCATGAGAATCGCTTGAACCTGAAAGGTGGAGGCTGCAGTGAGCCAAGATCATGCCACTGTACTCCAGCCTGGGCAACAGAGGGAGACCCTGTCTCAAAAAACCAAAACAGGCCAGGCTCAGTGGCTCACGCCAAAGTGCTATAATCCCAGCACTTTGGGAGGCCGAGGCAGGTGGATCACGAAGTCAGGAGTTCAAGACCAGCCTGGCTAACATAGTGAAACCCTGTCTCTACTAAAAATACAACATTTCTTTAGTAAAAATTTTTGTACTAAAAATACAAAAATTAGCCAGGTGTGGTGGCACATGCCTGTAGTCCCAGCTATTCGGGAGGCTGAGGCAGGAGAACCGCCTGAACCCAGGAGGTGGAGGTTGCAGTGAGCTGAGACCACGCCACTACACTCCAGCCTGGGTGACAGAGGGAGACTCTGTCTCAAAAACAAACAAACAACAAACAAAAGGAAGATGTGTATAATCAATCAATAAACAAATAAAATCATTTCAGATAATCAGAGCCATGAAGAAGATAAAATAGTAACTGACAATGAGGAGAAGAATAAACTCAGAATAATTTTTGGATGAAGTGACATTTGAGCAGAGCCATGAATAATGAAAAGAAGTGAGCCGTTCAAAGATTTAGGAAAAAGTGTGGTAAGCACTGGGAACAGTGAATAAGACAGGACCAAAGAAAGGAAAGACCTATGGAGCTGGAGCATTGGGTGGTGGGGGGCAGGCGGTGGGGGGAAATAAGATGAAAAGATAGTTATTCCTATCTTCGAAAGGAAAACAAAAACCTCCCTTTCATCCCACTTATGCCTCAACTCCTGCCCCGTATCCCCTTCAAGGCCAAATCTCTTGATCTGATCCTCTACATTATGTCATCATTTCTTAATTATTCACTTCTTATTCAGTCCATTCTGGGTTCTGAACCAACCTCTCCACCTCCATCTGTCCAAAAACGGCTTTATTATCAGTGTCACTGGTGACGTTCATGTAACTAATTCCAATAGATTCTTTTCAGCTATTTTTGTGCTTGACCCCTCAACTATTTTTGTCAGTGCTTGACCATCCCCTCCTGGAAGCACTCTGACTTTCCTTCTTTCTTTCTGGCTGTTGTTTCTCTCCTTTGCCAGGGTCTCCTTCTCCACTGGCTCTGGGCTAGAGATCCTAGGATTCTGTCTTAGGACCTTTTCCCTTCTCCTCTCTGTCTCCCTCTCTCTTTCTCTCTCTCTCAAAAATCACACAGGTTCTGTCACTATTTTGGTTCCAAAGACTTTCACATCTTTATCTCCACCCCAAGCCATTCAAATGCCCAATAGCCCAATAGCTTACATGACTGACCATTTGACGTAGACACCCTCAGCCCATTGTCTCCAATAATGAACTCATTATAGCAGCCACCACCTCACCTTCTCCAGTGGTTGATCTCTCTGTTAGCAAATGGCACTATGATCCACTTTGTAGCTCAGTCTAGACACCTGGAAGTCATCCTTGATTTCCTCCTCTTATTCACATTGAATCAATCATAATCACAATCCTGCCTCCAATATGTATCTCAATAGTTATTTTTTTCCCAGATGAAGTCTGTCTCTGTCACCCAGGCTGGAGGAGTGCAGTGGCACGATCTCAGCTCACTGCAACCTTTGCCTCCTGGGTTCAAGTGATTCTCCTGCCTCAGCCTCCCGAGTAGCTGGGATTGCAGGCACATGCCACCACGCCCACCTAATTTTTTTGTATTTTTAGTAGAGACGGAGTTTCACCATGTTGACCAGGTTAGTCTTGAACTCCTGACCTCATGATCCAGCTGCCTTGGCCTCCCAAAGTGCTAGGATTACAGGCGTGAACCACCACGCTCATTTTCTTCTATTTCCATAGCCACCGCTTATTTTAAATCACTGCATTCTCTTGTGTGACTTATGGCAATAGTTCCTAACTGCTCCTACCTGCATCCATCATTGCCTCTCTCCAGTTTATTATCCACATGGCCACTAAAGTGATCTTTCGAAAAGCAAACATCTTGTGTCACCCCATGCACAAAATCCTTTAATAGGTCTCCTAATCCTTAGGATTAAATTCCAAATCCTTAATATTATCTAAAAAGCCCTGCAAGAGGCCGGGCGCGGTGGCTCAAGCCTGTAATCTCAGCACTTTGGGAGGCCGAGATGGGCGGATCGCGAGGTCAGGAGATCGAAACTATCCTGGCTAACACAGTGAAACCCCATCTCTACTAAAAAATACAAAAAAACTAGCCGGGGTGGGGGTGGTGCGTGGCAGGCGCCTGTAGTCCCAGCTACTCGGGAGGCTGTGGCAGGAGAATGGCCTAAACCCGGGAGGCGGAGCTTGCAGTGAGCTGAGATCCAGCCACTGCACTCCAGCCTGGGCGACAGAGCGAGACTCCGTCTGAAAAAAAAAAAAAAAAAAGTCCTGCAAGACCTTACTCTTAAATAACTATAATCAGTTAAGATACTTTTGATGGCAGAAATCAGAAATTCAACTAAAAGTGCCTCATTCAGTAAGGATATTTATTATTGCCCAGCTCAGTGGCTTACACCGGTGATCCCAGCACTTTGGGAGGCAGAAGCAGGCTGATCACGAGGTCAGGAGTTCGAAACCAGCCGGGCCAGTGTAGTGAAACTGCATCTCTACTAAAAATACAAAAATTAGCCGGGCGTGGTGGCACACACTTGTAAGCCCAGCTACTCAGGAGGCTGAGGCAGGAGACTCACTTGAACCGCAGAGGTGGAGGTTGCAGTGAGCCGAGATCATGCCACTGCACTCTAACCTGGGGCAACAGAGCAAGACTCTGCCTCAAAATATATATGTATATTTGTTATCAAATATGGTAAATTAGTCCAGGGGTAAACAGTTCCAGAGATGTCTCAGCAGCTCAATTATGTCCTCACAGCCTCAGCCCCTTGCCATCCTCAGCATGTCTCCCTTATGGCTGAAACAGTGACCTCTATACACAACCTTCAAAAACAAAAAGGAAAGGGTAAGATTTCCCCCTTGTAGCTCTCTCCCCTTTTATATGGGAGAAAAATGCTTCCTAGAGGCCTTCCTCTGCAGATTTCCCTTCCTATCTCATTGGTCAAAATTGGGCGCCATTGCCATCCTAAATCAGTCCCTAGCAAAAGAGAACGGGAGCACTCTAATTGGCTTAAACTCATTATTTATTCCATAGGACTTGGCACCTCAGCTCTCTGAAACAACATAACTAGGGTTCTTATACCAAGAAAGGAAATGAAACAATGAGATGCACCAACAGTAAGGTTTCCCAAAATAACTATTTGGGGATCTTAGCTGCTTTCACTCTCCTCCCTATTTTTCTTTTTTTTTTTTTTTTTTTTTTTGAGACGGAGTCTCGCTCTGTCACCCAGGCTGGAGTGCAGTGGCCGGATTTCAGCTCACTGAAAGCTCCGCCTCCCGCGTTTACGCCATTCTCCTGCCTCAGCCTCCCGAGTAGCTGGGACTACAGGCGCCTGCCACCTCGCCCGGCTAGTTTTTTGTATTTTTTAGTAGAGATGGGGTTTCACCATGTTAGCCAGGATGGTCTTGATCTTCTGACCTCGTGATCCACCCGTCTCGGCCTCCCAAAGTGCTGGGAATACAGACTTGAGCCACCGCGCCCGGCCCCCTATTTTTCATGCCCCTAAATTTGTCTACTTATTTCAATTCTTTGAGTGTGTTAAGTTCTCTCTGACCTCAAGGCCTTTATCCATGCTTTTATTTTTCTCTTGTACTTAACACTTCCTACCCAACATTCCACCATTCATAACTCAACTTTCTCAGATTTTGGTGTTTTTGTTTTTGTCTTTGTTTTCCCTGAGACGGAGTCTCACTCTGTCCTCCAGGCTGGAGTGCAGTGGCACGATATCAGCTCGCTGCAACCTCTGCCTCCTGGGTTCCAGCAATTCTCTTGCCTCAGCCTCCTGAGTAACTAGGATGACAGGTGTGAGCCACCATGCCTGACTAATTTTTG